AATACCGCACGCATTATCCAGCAGTATGTGCAATACCTGCATAACCGGGCGAGGAAGTGATGACAGTGCGATTACGTTAATGATGAGGACATGGACACAGACATTCCTAGAAGCACGGCATGTGGCGATTGGGAGATCATGGTGGTGCTGGGCCAGGTTCATGCTGTGGAACGCTGATTCTGGGCCCGGCAAACAAGCACAGACTGGTGGGACTGCATAGTGTTGCAGGTATGGGATGATTCCCAGTGGCTGAGAAACTTTCGTATGCGTGGGGCCACTTTCATGGAACTTTGTGCCTTGCTGTCCCCTGCCCTGAAGCGCAAAGACAACAAAATGAGAGCAGCCCTAACAGTTGAGAAGTGAGTGGCCATAGCCCTGTGGAAGCTTGCAATGCCCGATAGTCAGTCGGGAATCAGTTTGGAGTGGGCAAATCTACTGTGGGGGCTGCTGTGCTGCAAGTAGCCAATGCAGTCATTGACCAGCTGCTATCAAGGGTAGTGACTTTGGGAAATGTGCAGACCATTGTCGATGGCTTTAATGCGCTGGGGTTCCCAAACTGCGGCAAAAACATTCTCACAGGTGTTTCTGGGTGTGTGTCGTCAGGAAGCTATGGCAGACAATTGTTTTGTGCCTTTTTGGCGTGCAGACGCCATACTGCTTTCAGCAGACGGTGCACCGCTGCTCTCCGTGAATCCACCTCTCCAACTCAACTGTGCTCAGCCATCGTGAACCGAGCAGCACAGCTTCTGCCGCCAACTCTGCTCTCCCGCTATTGCCGCGCTTCGGAGCTTCTCCATGTTGTCTGTCCTGGGCTTCCACCTCCATGAAAGCCACAGAAGACAACCATTTTCAGCCGTTGTTCGGCTACCGTGAACCGAACAGCACAGCTTCCGCTGCCACTCTGCACTCCTACATTTCGCTCCCTTTTTCCAGGATTACCCATGCAGGCGCCATAGCCATGGAGCCCGATCAGATCTCCGCTGCAGTTTTGACCATTGTAAATACCGCACGCATTATCCAGCAGTATGTGCAATACCTGCATAACCGGGCGAGGAAGTGATGACAGTGCGATTACGTTAATGATGAGGACATGGACACAGACATTCCTAGAAGCACGGCATGTGGCGATTGGGAGATCATGGTGGTGCTGGGCCAGGTTCATGCTGTGGAACGCTGATTCTGGGCCCGGCAAACAAGCACAGACTGGTGGGACTGCATAGTGTTGCAGGTATGGGATGATTCCCAGTGGCTGAGAAACTTTCGTATGCGTGGGGCCACTTTCATGGAACTTTGTGCCTTGCTGTCCCCTGCCCTGAAGCGCAAAGACAACAAAATGAGAGCAGCCCTAACAGTTGAGAAGTGAGTGGCCATAGCCCTGTGGAAGCTTGCAATGCCCGATAGTCAGTCGGGAATCAGTTTGGAGTGGGCAAATCTACTGTGGGGGCTGCTGTGCTGCAAGTAGCCAATGCAGTCATTGACCAGCTGCTATCAAGGGTAGTGACTTTGGGAAATGTGCAGACCATTGTCGATGGCTTTAATGCGCTGGGGTTCCCAAACTGCGGCGGGGTGATAGATGGAACACATATCCCTATCTTGGCCCCGGAACACTGAAGCGGCCAGTACATAAACCGCAAGGGGTACTTTTCCATGGTGCTGCAAGCACTGGTGGATCACAAGGGACATTTCATTGACATCAATGTGGGATGGCCAGGAAAGGTGCATGATGCTCATATCTTCAGGAACTATGGTCTGTTTGAATGGCTGCAGGAAGGGACTTACTTCCCAGACCAGAAAATTACTGTTGCGGATTTTGAAATGCCTATAGTTATCCTCGGGGACCCAGCCTACCCCTTAATGCCATGGCTCATGAAGCCATACACAGGCACCCTGGACAGTAGTAAGGAACAGTTCAACTATAGGCTGAGCAAGTGCAGAATGGTGGTAGAATGTGCGTTTGGACGTTTGAAAGCACGCTGGTGCAGTTTACTGACTCGGTTAGATCTCAGCACAACTAATATTCCAATTGTAATTGCTGCTTGTTGTGTGCTCTAGAATATCTGTGAGAGTAAGGGGGAGACGTTTATGGCCGCGTGGGAGGTTCGGGCAACTTGCCTGGCAGCCAGTTTCGCACAGCCAGACAACAGGGCGATTAGAAGAGCGCAGCAGGGCGCGCTGCACATCAGAGAAGCTTTGAAAGCCAGTTTCATGACTGGCCAGGGTACTGTGTGAGAGTTGTGTTTGTTTCTCTTAAAGTTACCCACTCCCTATATATATATTAAAGGAAATAAAGTCACAATTGTTTAAAAACCGTTCTTTATTATTTGTTGCACAAAACATTGAGAAAAATCAGAAGCTAGGGGGTGGGAGGATTAGGGGGGGTGGAGGAGGGAAGGACAATTCCAGAAACCAAATAAAAATTTAGGATATGCCAGCTTTCTGCTGCTTGTGCAATCCTCTGGGGTTGAGTGTGTGAGTCCCCGTAGCCTCCCCCGCCCGCCCGCCCCCACCCACTCCCCTCCCGTGTTCTTGGGCATCTGGGTGAGGAGGCTATGGAACTTGGGGAGGAGGGAGGGCGGTTATTCAGGGACTGCAGCGGCAGTCTGTGGTCTTGCTGCCTTTCCCGCATTAGATCCACCATACAGCGGAGCATGTCAGTTTGCTCCCCCATGAGCTTGACCATAGCATCCTGCCTGCTTTCATTGTGTGCGTCCCTCCTCTCTTCGTATTCATGTAACGCTTTACGTGACTCCGCAATTGTTTGCCTCCACGCATTCAACTGGGCCCTATCAGTGTGAGAGGACTGCATGAGCTCGGCGAACATGTCGTCCCGAGTTCATTTTTTCCGCCTTCTAATCTGGACCAGCCTCTGGGATGGAGTAGATAGGGGCCACACTGAAACATTTGCACCTGCTGCAGGAGGAGAAAAAGGGAGGGTAGTATTTTAAAAGATAAATTTTAGAGAACAAAGGGGACACTGTTTCTCAGTGAAACAGGTAATTCATAGTATACAGCACATATTCTTTCTGTACAAGGTCGCATTTTGCCTCCTATACTGAAGTGCCTGCCACTTTGGTGTGAGTAAGCGATCACATGTGGCCAAGCAACAGAATTCAGCTTGCAGGCAGCCTGCGGGCTCTCTGGGATGATCGCTTCACACAACACCCTCCCTCCCCCGCCGCCCCCCCCATACACACTGAGGGGCTCTGATGAGGCTCTAAGCAGGGATGAGCCCTTTAAACGAAACGCAAACAGCCCAGAGTGGCTCCAATGAGGCTCTGAGAAGGTACGAGCCCTTTAAACTAAAGGCGAACAGCCCAGCATGGCTGGGTTTCCCCCCACCCCCCACAGGGTGGCTCCAATCAAGCTGTCACTCACCAGAAGTGCCTTCTCCAGGGTCATGGTCCGGGAGCATGCTTTGGGAGTAGGGGAAGGCTATTGGCTCCAGCGTTAAGAATAGTTTCTGGCTAGGGGGGAAACAGATTCCCCACTTGCCACCTGTGCACTCTCCTCCTCCTCCTCCTCCTCCTCCTCCTCCAAAAACTCATCCTCCTTGCTCCGTGCTACTCCCCCCTTGCAGGTGTCCATGGACAATGGTGGGGTAGTGGTGTCGTCACCCCCCATAACTGCATGCAGCTCACGGTAGAAGCGGCATGTATGGGGCTGTGATCCAGAGCGCCTGTTTGCCTCCCTGGCTTTTTGGTACGCTTGCCTGAGCTCCTTGATTTTTGTACGACACTGTTCTGTGTCCCTGGAGTAGCCTCTTTCTGTCATGGCCCTGGAGACTTTAGCAAACGTATTTGCGTTCTTTTTTTTGGAACGTAGTTCTGCCATAACAGATTCATCTCCCCAACATGCGATGAGATCCAGTACCTCCTGTTCGGACCATGCTGGAGCTCGTCTGCGAATCCAGGACTGTGTGGTCTCTTGAGTTGGTGGACTCTGCATGGTCACCTGTGATGGTGGACTGTGCTGATGCTCACCTGGGCTGATGGTGACCAAACAGGAAATTCAAAAGTTCCCGGGGCTTTCACTGCCTACCTGGCTAGTGCATCGGAGTTCAGAGTGTTGTCCAGAGCGGTCACAAGGGAGCATTCTGGGATAGCTCCCGGAGGCCAATATCGTCGAATTGCGTCCACAGTACCTGTAACCCGGAACTGCGATCTCGATTTTAGCGCTACTCCACTTGCCGCGGTGGAGTACAGAAATCAGAGTAAAGAGCCCTTTAAATCGAAAAAACTGGTTTGGTCGCGTGGACGGAACCAGTTTTATTTCGAGGTAACTCAGCTAATTCTGAAATAACTGCGTACTGTAGACCAGGCCTAACAGATTTATTTGGGCATAAGCTTTCGTGGGTAAAAAAAACACTTCTTCAGATCCACAAAAGCTTATATCTAAATGAATCTGTTAGTCTTTAAGGTGCCACTGGACTCCTTGTTGTTTTTATGGATACAGACTAAAATGGCTACTCCCTGATACTTCGTCATTTAAGGATTTCATTCCCCAGTAGACACCCCTTTGGTATGGGATGGAATGATCTGCACCTTTGCACGTGTTCGGTCTGTGGAAAGGGTTGGTAACACTTAGGAATAATGGATGGGGCAGTTTTACCCCACAAACTACATCCATTTCCCTGAAGAACATACTGAAATCCCCAGGTGGGGGAGCTGAACTCTGCACACCCGCGCCTGAGACCTGCAACTGCCATTGACTCCAGTGTCATCTCTAAGGCCTCATGTACAACTAGAGGACCCCCAGCTGCGCCCAGAGGCTGTGGATGCAGTGCAAATACAGACATGCCCGCACACAGGTCATGCAGTGCATCTGGCACGTGCAATGCACCTTTTGCACATACAGCTGAGGCATTTAATTGTCACACACAACCCCTTCCACCCTCCTCTGCCACACGCTGGGAGGGAGCTCAACCAATCAGAGGCGCTCCTTCATCTTTATGGCCCATACTGGCCCAGACAAGATCGTTCCCAACCAATGAACGGCCTCCTTCTATCCTTCTCATCAATACCTGCTTCTCTCCAGTAGGTGGCGCACTTCTCGCTGCTGTCACACTCTATGGTCGCCATCCGGCGCTCTGGTTCGCCACTGTCACTCTATTGTTCCGCCCGAGTGTTTATTGCCTTCCGGTTCCGCGTCAGGTTCCTTCTTTCCGTGCCGTCGCTGGCAGGATGGTGAGAGCGGGATGCTCTGCGTGTATCCGCCGCCATCCGCCTCGGGGAGCGCCCGCCTGAGCCCGGGGCCGGGCCACATGCTTCGGGGAGCCGCGGTGGAGGCACTCGGCCGGGCCCGATCCGGGGGATCCCGCCGCGGCTCGGTCGTGTGGGTGGGGGCCCTGTCCGCTCTCGGGAGCCGGGTGCCAGGAGAGGCAGGAGGGGTCGCTGGCCCCGGGGAGCGGAGCCGCCGCGGGCCTGTCTCCGCTCCATTAGCCGAGCCTGTGGGGGGCGGGCATGGCCGGGAGCGCTCGCTCGCACTGTGCTGGCTGCACTGTTCGGGGCTGGGTGGCATCTCGCACCTCCCCTCGCTTTACCTGCTGTGTCGGGTTGGTGGGCACCGCCTGCCTGTGCCGGGAGAAGGAGGCACTCGTATACTGGCTGTAATCCCAGTGGCCTGGGGAGAAAGGGGGCAGGGTAATATTACTGACGCTCAGCCCTGCGTTGGATGTAATGCTTGGACACCCTAGGCAGATTACATGGTAATTAATTCTAACATGCTGACACTGTTCTCTATTAGGTGAACGTCCCCAAAACCCGCAGGACTTACTGCAAGAAATGTGGCAAGCACCAGCCCCACAAAGTGACCCAGTACAAGAAGGGAAAGGACTCTCTCTATGCTCAGGGTAAGGGGCAGATCAGTGCGTTTCTAGATTAATTTGCCAGTGGGAGGCAGGAATTTATTACTCTGTGAGATATGCCACCAGTGTGCGGAGTAATGGGGTTGTGATTACTGCTGGCAGTAGGAGCCCAGGAGGTTTGAATCCCAGCTGTGGGTAATGTATTGCTCCTGAGGTAATCAGCACATGGGGCAATGGTGTGGATATGTTTGAAGAATTCGTTAGATTTCATAACTGTTTAACAATCTATAGTGATTTTGGGGTGGAGGCTCCTGGGATCCTTGGACATTCATGAGTTTCAACTGTTTGCCTGAAGAGTTTTGTTTCTTCCCCACAGGAAAGAGGAGATACGATCGGAAGCAGAGTGGTTATGGTGGTCAGACAAAGCCTATCTTCCGTAAGAAGGTGAGCATGCTAAAGGAAAGGGTGTTGAAACGCTCTGGTCAATTTCATGTGCTCTGGTGAAGAGAGGTAATTCAGAGGACTCCTACACCCTCACATATTTATTGAGTAGAGACTCATAGCATGTGTAGGTAGCCTTGGGTAGGGATGTCAATGCATTTTGGCATGGGTCTAGACTGGGTGCAGTGAGTGTAATCTTGCTGAGAGGCTCAGCAACTTGTATTGATGACAGGTTTTGCCCTTTTGTGCCTGAATTCATTTCTTTCCTCTGCTGCTCCTTGGCCAAATGGGAATTTTTCCTCATGGCAGCAGTAGCATGCCTTTGTCTAGTGAGTGGGCACATCACACTTTTGGACTGGCCAATGTGTTTTGAATGACAGAAGGGAATGGCCGTCCCATTCACTTTTTTAAAGGGACATAATGGGGATAGAAATTGTACCCCTTTCACTTGCTCATATTGCTGATACCTTAAATTGTTATGACTGAAAGAATTTTAAAAACCCAATGTCTATAAACAGTATCAACAATAAGAGATTTACGATTATAACTATTTTGATTAGGGATATGATTGTTGCTTAAAAAAAAAAAAGTTGTACAGTGCAACAACTGTGTAGCCCAGGCCTAAGACTGTATGTTAAAGGTGATCTGAGGGGGGAAATCACTGCTTCATAGGTATAAAGGATGCTTGGAGAACTACCCTTCTTTAAAAAATGCATGGGGAGGCTTACTTTTGTTATAACCATAGAAATATCTGGAGTGTCATGTCTGGTTTTCTGTTTCTGCTGGAAGATTCATTAGATGTCTCTGATAATGGGGACTGGTGAACTCAGCGTATCAGTTTTCTAGTCCTCTCTCACCTTCCAGGAAAAAGATTGAAATTTCTAATGTAATTTTAAAAAAAGCAAAATTACCCCCCATAACTTTTTTTTCCAGGTCTTTAAACAAAGGCACAACCCAGATGTTTTCATTTGCAGGTCATCCTTTAAGACTGGTGGCTTTTCAGTATTGCTTGGGTCTATTACAGAGGTGGGCAAACTATGGGCCACATCCGACCCGCGCGACCATCCTGCCTGGCCCCTGAGCTCCTGGCCAGGGAGGGTAGCCCTGGCCCCTCCCCACTGTCCCTCCTCCCCTGCAGCTGCATGGGCAACAGGGCTTGTGCCTGACCACCTCCCAGGCTTTCCAATAAGCCTGTCCTGCCGCTCTGAGCGGCTTTGTAAGGGGGAGGGGGGGTTGGATAAGGGGCAGGAGGTCCTGGGGGTTAGTCAGGGAGCGGAGGTTTGGGGGGGAGGTTCTGGGGGGTCCCAGGAGGTGGGGACAGGGAGTAGGGGGGTTGGATGGGGGGTTCTAGGGGAGCAGTCAGAGGATGTGGGGTGGGGGGGGGTTGGATGGGGCAGGGGGCCTGTCAGGAGGCGGGGGTGTGGATAGGGGTCAGGGCAGTTAGGGGTCAGGGAGCGGGGGGGTGGAGTCCTGGGGAGTCCCGGGAGGGGGCGGTTGGATGTGTCGGGGATTCTGAGGGGGGTGTGAAGTGGGAGGGGGCGGATAGGGGTCAGGCTGTTTGCAGAGGCATAGCCTTCCCTACCTGGCCCTCCATACCGTTTCACAACCCCGATGTGGCCCTCCGGCCAAAAAGTTTGTGCCCCTGCATTTTATTAGGAGCATAGGGAGAGACGTTGCAAAGTAGTGGTAGCATACTGGCTGCGTGGCACAGTTGGTGATTGCCATATGGATTGGAGTCCTTGGGTTACAAGCAGAAGGATGTGTGTGTTCAGTGTAGTTTCATGTCTGTCAGAACCATCATATAATCTGGCTTGTTTGGTAGTTTTTGGAAACTATTATTTGAGTAGCCAGTGGTAAAAGGAGTGCTGCTGGTTAGGATTACCAGTAATCTATAGGACCCAGACTAGAACCTGTGGATGGACAGAATATTGCAGCCCAGAACTGAAATGTGGTAACAGATCTGTGCTGGGAAACTGGTCCCATGGTTTTGTCAGCTCTGTGCTCTTCATTCCGAAGAGGAAGTTGAATTTGTTTCCCAGATTTCTTGTCTCCAAACTCCCAAGGTTGCTGGGTTTTTGTTCCCGAAAGGCCTTGGAGCGCCTAACCTGCTGTGTACATGTCAGGAGGAGCTGTTTCTCTCTAGGGCTAAATGATGGCTGGCTTTGCCTGCTACTGGGAATAGTCCATTCACTCTCTTTCTCTCTCCAGGCCAAGACCACAAAGAAGATTGTTCTGAGGCTTGAGTGTGTGGAGCCCAACTGCAGGTCCAAAAGAATGCTGGCCATTAAGAGGTGCAAGCACTTTGAGCTGGGAGGAGACAAGAAGAGAAAGGTATGTTTATGTGCTGAGGGGTTTGCCGGTGAAAGTTAAGCTGTGGACTGAACAAGGACCACTTGTGGCACCTTAGAGACTAACACATTTATTTGAGCATAAGCTTTCGTGGGCTAAAGCCCACTTCATCAGATGCACGAAAGCTTATGCTCAAATAAAAATTTGTTAGTCTCTGAGGTGCCACAAGGACTCCTCGTTCTTTCTGCTGATACAGACTAACACGGCTACCACTCTGAAAGCTGTGGACTGTGTGGCCACTTCAGTGCTGAGCATGGTGAGAAAACTACACTTCCAGAGCTGACCAGCAGATATTAGCCACCTCTATATTAATGTAAAGATCCTGCTGCTCATTGGATGTAACTGTTTAATGGAGAAACTAATGAGGATGCAGAGTTGGCTTTTGGCAGGGAGAGTATTGTTAGTCAATGGATTTTTCAGAATGACTGTAAGAGGGTTCTGTTTGAATAATGCTCCATAGAAGTCCCTGAGGCGAGTTGAAATGTTTGTGGTAGGGTTCTGTATTGCACATACTCAGTCAGTCTTTTCTCTCTTACAGGGCCAGGTGATCCAGTTCTAAACTCAGTCTTGTTCATTGTTATGGAATCCATTAAAGTACGTGGAAAGAATCTGCTGCTCTTGTATATTTCCTTATTGCTAGGGAGGGACTTCTGGGTGTATCAAACTCAAATGGGAGCTGCTGCTGGGAATAAAGTTCTCCAGGACTGGGAAATCTCACCAGTGGTTGAACATTTGCTTCTGTATGGGCTGATACTGCCTAAAAAGAGGTTTTAGAATAAATTCTACCTGCAGCTAGAGAAACTTTTTAATCCACACTCAAAAGTGTCAACTCCTGGGAGGTTGCTCAGGGCCTACCAGTCTGATGCACCAATGTGGTGTGGAAGCCACATGTTGCTACTCTTCCAGGTCCTTTACTTCTACAAATGAGAGTAGAAGGTAGGGCTGTGTCTATGTATAGGACTCCATGGGACCGTCAAAACAGAAGTTGCACTGGTTACCCTTAATTGATTTTGTTAAATTAGTGCAAACTGTGGTATGTGACCACTTACCTGTTTTAAACCTGCTTCACTAGTTTTGCTTCTTTCTGAAAATTTATGGCCACAAGCTAAACCACTTTAAGGCAGAGTTAAATTGATGTCGGTATACAAAGCTGCAGCAGTTTAACTAAATTGTAAAAAATCTCACCTTTATTATAGTGATACAGTTTGCATGGACCAGGCCTTACTCTTACCTTGTATTAAGTGCTTTTAGAGGAAAGGGAGGGATGGGTAAGATCAGCTCATCCCCTAAGTGATGGCCCTAATGCATAGGGGAGGGCTGGCTTGGCTTTTGCTGAGCCTACTGAAAAGCAGATGGCCTCATTCCTTATGCTACAAATATATAGCGCTGGCCTCATTTTAGATCCCTCTTCTCTACAAGCACTAGTAGTAAACTGAAAATTATAGGGAGTAAATGTACAAAGGCCCGTGAGGCAGGGTCTAGCTGCCCTAATACAAATGTAGAGATTTCACTGTGACCGATTCACCTCCTCTTTGCAGTACCATTTTTAGGCGGCCATCATTTATTGCTGTTGATAGATGTGAACGTGCTGCTTGTAGCTCAGATGAGCAGAATTGTATGGGCTAAGCTTCATGTATTTAGCCTGTGCTCTGCTTCACCTTCCGTCTTGGAAAGGGAATATCTCATTAGCCCATTCAGCTAGAAGCAAGTGTTTAAAACGTTTAGCCTGATCCCATCCTTGGGCATAGGCTTGAGAAAAACCTGGCTAGCTTTCTGTTTCACACCAGCACTTAACACCAACCCAGATTCCTTTACATTAATAAAGCACTCAATCCATGTGTGAAGGTTACAGACTGCCGGCTAGCATTAAAAAAGGTCAGTGAGATCCATCAGAATTAGGAATAACAGGTGATGTTCTTAGATACTGACCTACTTCAAAGGAGAGGAGGCCTCTGGTTTTCTTAAATCTAAACTGTATAGAGGATGCCAAGGAGCATCTGGCAGCATCTCTGTAAAATTCCACGTGATACTAAACTAAACTTTGGCAGGAAAACAAGTTAACATATCTCTACCCACACACAACTGAGATTCTTCATATGCAGTAACAGGAAGGTAGCTCTATTAAGTTTTAGTGTATATGCCTCTTCTAGCATAACTTTTACAGCATTAGGAGGAGGGGAAACTCCTTCCATGTTTTGTAACAGAATAGTGTGTCAGCTATAGACTACTAATGGGATGATTTTTTGACTGGAATTCAAAAATACAGCTTTTATAACTAAGCTGTTGCTTGCAGTGGAGGTTTAGAGTAGCATCTTAAGCAAGTCGTTGATAGGATACAGGTTCCTGTAGCAATTTTGCATGCAAATTTAGCACCTTTAGGCCTGTTTACATAATTGGTAACTTTGATGGTACACCTCCAAGAGAAGGCAGAAGTCAACAGCACTGTCTGGTGGTGAAGTGCTGTACTACAATTACCAAAGGTGTCTAGGAATAGGTAAGCTTTAATTTTTTTTAGCAAGACTTGTGTACAATGTTCTTTATGTACAGGTGGCTTGGTATGTGTGGACGTGATTAGTTTCACAAGAGAATTAGAAAACCCACCGCTACAGAAATTTCAGATCATGCTCAAGCTGAGCGTAGGCTCAGTTCCACACACTACTACAAAAAGCCTCAACCCCCTCGAGTGTCTTTTAAGGTAGACTGTACCACAAAGGAAGGAGATGGTGGTGGGGGAAAGGACAGAGCAAGCCCAACCCTGCCCTAATCGATTTCCTTTTACTGGCATCAGTCAATGTCAGTGGGGAGGGGAGAAACCCCTGTAGCATGCCATCATTCTCTACCTATGGGTAGCTAATGATTAATCCATTTGCACCAAAAACTGTGTTTCTTTAGTCCAGAGCCAGCAGTGGAAAATACAGCTGCTGGCACCAGGACAATCGGTAAGCTGCTGAAGGCAGCTGGGTGACTGCTGTCTCCTGAAGAAACATGGATTAAAAAACCCTAGAACAAAGTGAAAGCCACGTGAGTGGGAGATAAGACTACATGGATGCCCTTTAAAGGGAGACAGCCAGCAAGAAAGTGATAGCCTAAAAAGTTCTGGCTTAAAACACTGAGTCACCACTGCAAGGTGAGAGCAACCTTAGGGAAAAGGGCAGGGGGTCTGAGGGTGGACTGTGTATGTGTGTTCTTGCAGCTGGTGTACATCAGTCACACTGGCTTGAGGGGAAGCTGTTAAAGCAGGAGGGGAGCACTCTTCCCCTGAGTCCTGGCACCATTGAAGAGCCTCACTAACATGGTATGTCCTTGCTCTGCATTTTCTCACCCATTACCAAGGCCATTAGGTCTTTACAGAAGGCTGACCCAGTCTAATTGACCACCTCAATCCTTTAGCCCCCAGTGAAATGAACGTTAGGTCACAAACTACACTGAGCAGGACTCAGATAGATCTAGCAGGGATACATAAAGGTACCCTCTCTCCAGTAATTGCAACACAAGGATGGAGAGAGATTACAGTACTTTTTGCTGGATTAGGGTTAATTTGGTAAAGTTCACCCATCACTGATGGGATCTTCAGCTCTTATTGCCCACAGATGTGGATGGGCAGGACTGGAGCAAGCTCTCGTGCCTGGGGAATTAGGCCACTATTACATTATAAGATATCTGGAGATAGTTTTTTGTTGATGTTCATGACCGGCTTCTGATCTGGGGAATCCCCAATCACCACCACCTTCAGCAGCACAGTACCCGTTGGGTTCACCTCAATGTTCAAGAACGAGACCCAGTTGTGTAGTCCCCAGTCCTCACTGGTGGGGAGGATCTGCTGGATGGAGCATGCAGGGTTGCATGCCAGGCCATTGCCAAGGAAAGAGGTAGAGAAGCTGAAGATCTGGGGTCCTCCAATCTCCTGCCGATTCAGCACAGCCACAGCATAGGCACCCCCTGACAGAGGCCGCTCCCAGAGCTCAAAGTTGTTATCCTGCCAAAAATGGAAACCAAACAAATGTTTGAGGGTGTAGGACTGACTCTACAGGTCCTAGTCATCCTCTTCCTAAGCAGGGAGGAATGTGAGACTCAGGTCTCGGTGGGTGGATGTTTCAAAATTACTCTCCCCAGTCTACTCTGAGGAAGGCAAGGGAGACTTACCACCCCCCAGCAACCTAGTTTCACCTACAGTCTCACGCCCCTGAGACTAGAGGAAATCTCTTCCCCATTTCAGTGGCTCCAGCCCCTATCATACCTTGGTGATACGGTATCCTTGCTTGCCCAGTGGGTCCTGGTTGATGGCGATCACATGTTTGTTCTGGAGCAGCCACTTGGCCTGGGGGCTGATATGACGTAGGTCATTGGACATGAGCAGTGGAGCTGCCATGACAGCCCACAATGCCATCTGAGTCAGCTGCTGGTCCCAGCTCAATCCAAAATTGCCAATCACCAGCTGTAACAAGTGTAGAATGAGAATGGTAATACACATGGTGTTAACATTTTCATCACAGTTAGACAACCCAGAACCTGTCATCAGCTGTAAGAGGAAGTGGGGCAAATGCCAAGTTCATGCAGCTATTTGGGAATCAGGAGCTGGAGGAGTTGAGCAACAAGTTATGGTGGAGGTGTAGAAGAAGAAGGTTGTCTGACAGGAAGACAGCTCTAGGGCGCACAAGGCTTAGTCTGAGGTCATAAATACTTCTGAAGGTGTGGCTGCTAACTGGGTGCCCAGTTTTCACCTGTGGGGAGGTCTGAGTGATCAGCATTCTGAGAATTGGGCCCAGTGGGCCTCAGGCTGGGCAACCAGAGCTAGTGCCCACTTAAATAAGCCCAAGGCTTTCAGTTCAGAGTAGACCTGCTCTTAAATGGCTCCTGCTGAGCCTGAGCAATGCACACAGGTTACATTCCTTATTGCTGTGGATATCCTACCCCATCTTTGCATAGCCACCAGGCTGCCTGGTTTCCTGAGTCATGGGCCCCCTTTGATGAATTCGTTGTGCTAGGACCACAACAGAGGGTTCTCTGCCCCCAGCATATTTCCCCAGTCAGTTCCTTACAAAGTTCCCTCTCAGTTCCTCCTTTTGCTCTCAGGAATGGACTCCTCTTCCACAATCTTGCATTGGTGCTGCCCCCCCCATTATTCTCTAGTCAAGTAGAGGCCTTATGGTTGTTGCAGTGTAACAAGAGCTCAGGTGTTCTTACCATGTCAGGGTCATTCCAGCCCCCTGGCCCAGCAACATCCACAATGCTGTCTTGGTGTAAAACAGTCCACTCCAGGGTATTCTTAACACTGTTCCAAGCATCATAGATGTCAGCAAAGTTCCTCCAGTGATTGCAGTAGTGTTTGATTTCTGTGTAATTAGGCTGCCAGAGGACAAAGAGCAAGAGGGTGCTCATAGGATATAGCTTGAGCATTTAGGATAAGGAGGCATAAAAGGATAGATGCAATGGGGAGAATCATAGATGGAAAAGATCCATAAGGTCATTCAGTCCATGTGCTGGGGCCAGTGCAGGATTGTTCCCTATGGTACATTCTCTGGTACTTGCTCCACTCTAGGGTGATGGAATTTCAACCACTTCCCTTCGGAGAACATTCCATGGCCTCCTATGTCTTCCTAATTTTATT